TACTGCGCGTATGAGGACCTCATTACGTGACAGGTGGGGTTGGTGTTAATGTTTTCCAGGATATAGACAAGAACTACACTTTGCGGAATTTTTTACTTTTTTTCATTTTCTGAATATTTCAAAAATCTCGTAACGAATTTTATGAGCATGGCAGTTTTGGATGGTCGGGGTGATTTTTGGTGATTCTATGTGAAGATGTTAGGGAGTGTGTAAGTCTGTTTTGCGCGAGATCGTTTGTCAAAGCGGTTTATGAAACGGCAGAAGCCTTTTTATGAAGCAGTTCCAGATAGGAACTAGATAGGACACGATTTGTTCCACTATCAATGTTCATCTTGTTTTTTCCCCAATCATGATAGACTCGATTTAGCTACCGCAAAAAGAAATGAATGAATGGCGAAAACATGCGACTGCGAGTGAGCAAGCAATGATAAAGGGAGAGGAGATGCAAAGGACAAAAATCTGGCATTGCCCTTTCCTTTGCCAGCTTTACGCTTGAGAAGACATCTGCGAAATTTATCTCTCTGCCATAGATCAATATAAATACCGGGGATCGGATGTCGTTGTCAGTTCGAGCATGAGTAACGTGATCCTCATTGGCTCGGTGGCCACTTTGGCCTTTGTAATCGCTTCACTCGTTACCATGGTTGCTCTACTAAAGGAGATTTCTGACCTACAGATGGAAGTGCAGGTTGGCATGGATGAATTCAAGGTAATAAGGAATTACTCTCGTTCCAGCTTTAATTCGAAACAAAGTGAGTTTTAGGGGATCTCGGAGGATACTTGGAGCCGCATCATGACCAAGCATTTGCACCCTACCGGCGTTTCGGATGCTCTGCCCAATTTTGAATCTCTTTTTGCGCGCCGCCCTCGTGCCAATGGTTTCCCAGAACAATGCAATTGTGGAGAGAAATCTAGAGACTGCCCACCTGGGCCACAAGGACCTCCGGGTCCCAAAGGCCCGCCTGGAGAGCCTGGAAAAGACGGCGAGGATGGAAGACCTGGCGCTCCGGGTGTTGCACTTGCGGTGACTCACGAACTTCCTGGAGGATGCATTAAATGCCCAGCTGGACCACCGGGACCGCGTGGTCCTGCTGGAGACCAAGGCCCACCAGGACCAGCAGGACCTTTCGG